AAAAAAAAAAAAAAAAAGGTTGAGAAGTTAGAGGGTTGATATGTTCTGGGGTTGTTAACCAATGTCATAAAACAACATGTGTACTTCTGTTTCATGAGAAACTATGTGTTCTGTAAGCCTTCACCTGAAGTACAATAAGTAAATAAATAAATAAATAAGAAAGAATCCTCCTCGATGAGTAAAGGGTCCCTGGGGAAGGACAAGGCCACGTTTCTCCAGTCACAGCTTCTGTCACCCTGAGTTGGGATGAGGTGGGTGACGGGGCTTAGATAAGCCTTGCTCCTCCCCAGGAGTCACTCGCTCCACTTCCCTCAGGACTTTACCTCGGTAAGTCCTCCCCGCAACCAGCAGGTTCAGGGCCCCCAGGGATGGCCATGGAGCCAGGCCAGAATCACCTAGCTGCAAAGCTCTTAGGAACAGCCAACAGCAAGCCCTTAGGGAGGCACCAGCAGGGCTAAAGCCCAATGAAGAGAGCTGGGTCTTTCCCAACCTCACTTGGATGCACCCCCAGCCTGGTTCCACATGTGGAAGGAGTGAGGGCAGGGGCTCCAGGAAGCCTGGCTGGGCTGAGCTGAGTGAGAGCAGCACCTGTGATGAAGTAGCTGAGCTCGGCGTTGAGGCCTACGTCATTGTCGGTGCAGTTCAGCCAGACCACCCGGAAGTCCCGTGGCACATCCTCGGACACGGAGACATTGTACACGGCCGGGAAGAAGGTGGGCGTCTCGTCATTCACGTCCAGCACTGTGGGGGCAGAGGGGGCACGGGGGCTGGGGTTGGCTTCTGCTTTGGATAACCTAACGCCAAAGGCAGTGGCTCAAGCCAAAGACCTAGTAGGAAACTAATTCCCAAGGGAGACACAGCCTCCGGGCGGCATTTGTGTCAACACCTCCTGGTCATGAGCTGAGGTCCTTTGCTCCTCCCCCTGCCCCCATCCCTGTTCTCCTGATGGCTTGATGCTGCTCGTGCTGTCAAGGGAGGAGAGAAAACCCCAGGCCTCTCTCCAGACAGGCCTAACAAGGACAATGATGATGATAATGACCACGGCCATTTATGCCAAGCCCATGCTAAGCACTTCCCATACAGGACCACATGCAATCCTCATAACATCCTTGTGAGGCAGGCATTATCAGACGACCTGGATAGAGAAAGAAATGGATGCTCACAGCATCACGAGAGGGGCATGGCTGGGTCTTGGGGAGGCCTGCCCTTCTTTGTGGTGGGATCCCATGGGAGGGAGCTGGCTTTGAGGATTTTTCCCCTCAAAAGGTCTGATTTCCTCAAAGATTTATTTTTCCAGCTCTGCATGCCAGGCCCCTATTCCTGGGGCAGGTGGGGCTCTGGGCGACCTGCATTGTGAAATGACAACCCCTTTGGCTACTCTACGTCATATCACCAGGAGACATGATGGGGTCATTTGATGATGTGGCTTTTGCTGAGGCCTTGGAGAAAGGTTCTCTGGGGTCCCCTCTGGAAGCAGTGGACGTCCTCTCTCCCTGTCAATCACTGGTGAAGAGGTGGGTCCTCCAACTGGCCTTGGACCAACAGGACTGAGAACGTGAGGCTCTCTCTAGTCCTTACCTTCTGCACTCTGAGGAGGGTGAATGTCTGTGCTGAGGTAACCTCCCCGTACACCCCCAGATCATGGAGGCACGCAGGGCAGTATGGGGCAAGCCTGTCCCTGAGAACAGGCCACACCTTCCCTGCCAGGCTCTATGAGGATTTCCCTGGGCTCACTCGTGGCTCTTCAGCATCAGCTCATGTCCGTGTTCCAGTGTGGTCTCAAGAATTAAAGACACATCCAGAGGTGATGAGAAATACCGTCCCTCCACCTGCCCCCAGATTAGAGGGTGGAGGCAGTGGTGATTATTGAGAGAGCCCAAAGCGGATGAGGAATCTCACAGTGTCTGCAAATTCCAACTGCCCTCTTCCCATTGCTCCCCCATTGCCACCTTATCATTCCACACACGGGAGCAGGTGTCTTCCTTCACATCCTCAAAATAAAAACTCTGGCCTTTCAAAGAAGGCAAAGGGTTCTTCAACCCCGCCTGCCGGCTCATGATCCGAGGGTTCACCCCTGCTTAAGCCCTCTCTGCTTTGGCTGGATCAACACCTCAGTTCCCAACGAGGCCAGCAGGGGCGTGGGACCTTGGTGATGGGTCCTGGCCACTGCCCCTGGGCTCTGGGCCCTGAAGGCAGTGGCCGGGAGTGGAGAAGGCTGTGTTGGCACTTCTGATCTGGTGGGGACAGGGAAGCCTCTGCTCCATGGAATAGCTCCCTGCAGCTGAGAAGGGCAGCCCATTACCTAGGGAGGCTGTGCCCACATAAACACTGGGCAGCAGTGGTGGGCATGGGTACCCCACTTCTCCTGGCACACCCTGGGGCCTGTGCCTACATGATTAGTGGGCAGTGTCAGGCACCCTCTGCCCCACTTGGTACTGCCCCAAAATCTGTGCCCACATGTGACGGTGGACAGAAGTGGTGGGCATGGGCATCCCATCCTGCTGTGCCTATGTGTTCAGCACCCAGTAGGAGACCCCCGCCCGCTCTCACCGCGGATGGTGAGTGTGCTGGTGGAGCTCTTGGTGGGCGTGCCCGAATCACTGGCCACCACCCGCAGCTGGTACTCGGCGATGCGCTCGCGGTCCAGTTCGGCGGTGGTGACCAGCACGCCGCTGCTGCTGTTGATGAGGAAGTCCATGCGGGGCATGCCCACCTGCATGCGGTAGGTCACCAGTCCGTTCAGGCCCTCATCCAGGTCAATGGCCACCACCTGATGGAAGGTGGGAGAGGCTATGTGAGGCGGGGACCCTAGGACTGCTGCTTCTCCCCCAAGAAGTGTCCCCTCCTCCTCTCCTTTGCTTGGCTCCAACCAGACACACCTGCTCCCCTCAGAGCCTCAGGCCAAACCACTGTTCCCAACACAACCTTCCAGATGCTCCCTGGAGGTGTGGCATATTGCAGCTGAAGGGCATCCAGATGCCCTCTGGTCCATCTGCTTATGGGACAGATACACTGAATAGGCTGGAGGTGGGTGGGATAGGGAAGGACTTTCTAGAAACAAGAGTTTGGTCTCCACATGCCTTCCCCCTTCAAAACCCTGCTCTCGCCATCAGGAAGCCCTCCCAGATTTACTCCAGCTGACTCTGGTCCCTCCAAAATCTCCAGTGCTCCAATAACCTTCCCCACCCCCCAGACCTTACCACGAAGGCTTGAAGCAGTTGTTACAGCTTCCAGACCCCCCGACTATTGGAGCTCATCTACAGAACACTCAATTAACAGGGCCCCCCTCCCCACTTTGCTCTGATTTATAAGACAACAACAAAAATAAGACAATGGATATCAAGGATTATTTTTAAAAAGTCACTTGAGGATTTCATTATTATTTAAAAAAAAAAAAAAAAGTCTTTTGGGGCCATGTGTAGGTGAGCCTCATCCTGAATCCCAAGTCCGTTCCCATCTGCACCTCCAGTCCTGATCAGAAATATCCCGATTCTGGACCCAGATACACTGAAAGTTTTACAGAAGAGGATTCAAGACATTTGAGAAAAATGTGTAATAGTAGTTAAGAGTTTTTGATTAAGACAAGACTATTAGGATTGGAAGACACCATCAAGGTCATCAGGTCTAATTCACATCCAGCAAGCTTGGACAGGAGGGTGTCCAGGCTCAGCTTGAATGTTTTCCAGGACGGGGGGCTCACTAGCTATACTCTATTTGCACACAACCCTAGAGAAAGTTTTTCTGCACTTCCAGCAGAAATCTTTATCGACTGAGGCCCTAGGATGGACCAGGGGAACAACACAGCTCAAGTCAGAACGCTCTTCCTATATCTGAGGACAGTCTCAAAGTTACACACTCCCAGCCCCCTCAACCATCTTCTCACGACTGGGAGTTGGTTCCTCCATGAACTCAGAAGTTGAGGTGTGGGTATTCTTTTCCTCTGCTGTCTTTGACCCCTGAGAACCAGGTTTGGGGGCTTGTTCATTTGCATTCTCTCCACTCCTGGTTGGGGACTGCTTCTCAGGGACAGGCTGCTGGTCCCAGGATCACAACGCCCCCTGCTGGGGGCTTTGGGAGAATGCTCTGCGGAGAGGCCAAAGGCTCCCCAGGACTAGTTAGAACACCATTAACCCCCTTTTACAGATGAAGAAATTGAGGCACAGTGGCTTACAGAGCATCGCCAAGGGTATCCACTCTGGCATCCTAAAAAACAATCAAGCCTTCCTCGAATGGGAACAGGTTAACCCTTTGCCACCCAATCCCCTTTTCTCTCTGGTATAAACCCTCATGATAGGCACATAATGAGCACAGCAACTGTGTATTCTCTGAAGCTCAAGTGCCCGATGTGCTTCTGAATGAATCTCTACCATAGCAGGTCCTATTATGTCATGGGTGAGAAAATTGAGGCTCAGAGAAGTTAAGTTGTTTGCTCCAAGTCATACAACTGGGAGGTGGTGGAGTTGGAATCCACACCCATACTGATCAGATTCCAAAGCCCATGTTTTTAACTGTTAGGGCTTTCCAGTCTTTCTAAATGGCCTCTTTAAAGGTATCAACTCCCCTGAACCAGCATCTTCAGGGTCTTCCTGAATGGACCAGAAGATAGAGGAGCTGGGTTCAAGATGGGGCCCCACCTCTTCCTGGCCACAGGGACTTGGGCAAGTCCCTCTGAAGCCTCCTGCAAAATGGGCAGAGTCCCACCCATAACGAGGGCTGCCTTTGGAGGGTGCGTACCTAGGCTACACTCAGTCTGAACTTCTCCGGGTTCTAGAACTCTCTGCAGGCTTGAGTGTTGAGGGTCTTGGACCAGATCTCCATGATCATGTTCTGAGAATCTCTCCAACTTGCCTTCCTCCCTCTGTCTCTACCTTTACCCAACCAAAACCGGTTGCTGTTGAGTCGACTTTGACTCATGGCGACTTATGTGTGTCAGAGTAGACCTGTGCTTCATAGGGTTTTCAATGGCTGATATTTCGGAAGTAGATCTCCAGGACTTTCTTCTGAGGCACCTCTGGACAGATTCAAACCACCAGTCTTTCAGCTAGTAGCCAGGCACTTAACCATTTGCGCCATCCCAGCTTTCCTCGTTTCTGCCTTTACGCATCTCCTTATCCGCCCCCGTGGTGCTCTCACTCCACCTCTCCAAATCCACCTGTCCTTCAAGAGTCAGCCCAGGAAGCCTTCCCAGACTACCCCATTCACTACCCATCTCTCATAGCACTGGCTCTCCAAGCTGGCACTGGATTACGTAGAGCTCAGCACAGGGCCAGGCACACACGGGCACTCGCTGCCCCCTTGTTGGCTGGCAAGGATGAGGTCAGGGAGACAGAGGGCAGGATATTGAGGCAGGAGAGAGAAACTCACTTGGTAGACAGAGACCCCTGCAGGGGTGCCCTCCGGCACCTCAGCCACGAAAGGTAGGTTCTGAAAGGTGGGGTCGTTGTCATTGAGGTCCAACAGGTTCACAAACACTGTAGCACTGCTGGTGGCTCTCAGAGGGGGCTTGCCACCTGGGGGGACCGGGGAGAGGGAAGAAGGGGTGCAAGAGAAAGAGGGCAGGGAGAAAGAAGAGTGGGGAGAGGGACAGGGAGGCAGATTCAGTTACCCTCCATTCTGGTGGCCCCTGTGGGAAGCAGTTTGGGCCTTGCATCCCCCCCAACACCCTTCCACACTCTTCAGGGTGCTCTGGGGGGATCACAACAGGGAAGTGGGTGTTCCACAGCCTCCTGGGTAGATCCCGGGACCCCCAGGGGACAAGTCAAAAGACCAGCCATTAGAGGACATCCCCAGGCCCCTGAGTGTCAGGGGCCATAGCCCAAGGTATGGGGGCCTGAGGGGCCTGAGGGTACGTACAGTCGGTGACGGAGACAACGATCTTGCGCATCAGCTCCGCCTCGTGGGGGTTGGGGTTCTCCCGGTCCAGCATGACGTGGGTGGTGCGGATCTTGCCTGTGGTGCTGTTGAGGCTATAGAACTTGTTGGGTGGCTGGATGCTGTACACCAGGGTGCTGTTCTCGCCCAGGTCTGGGTCCACAGCCACCACCTGCCAAGGAGGGGAGAGGGACCAGACCACCTTCACTGAGGGGCGGGAGTTGGTGGCCCTGGGGCAGCCTGGCCCAGCCTGGGGAGGGACCCGCTGTGCCCAAGGCTGCCTGCCTGGGGTTATCTAAGCTCATGTACTGGCCCCGGGCACCCTGCTGCCTGGGAGGAGGAGGCCTCCTGGCTCAGGCCGGGGAAGGGAGCCTCTCTCCCGGCTCCATCAGCAGTATCTGCGGGGGCTTGGGACGTTCAGAAGATTAATCAGCAGTGATGGTCTTCCCTCCAGTCCTGGCTTCTTCATCCAGCATGTTTGACCCTAGGCAAGTCCCTTTCCCCATTTAAGCCTTGGTAACAGTGAGGGTGGTGAGCCCTGCTTTGCCGTAAGGGCGACATGAGCTAGTGTTACTGAGAGCACTTGGCATGCACTGGCGTACAGCAGACGCCCAATGATGCAAAATGCCAGCGCTCTCCATGCACCGTGTCAACAGCCTTATGAGGCGGATGCCTGTAATTATGACCATTTTATAGATGAGGCTCTGAGAGGATTCCAAGGTCATGTAGACAGGGAGTGGCACAGCTGGGATTCTATCCCCAGTCTGGGTCCCTTCAGAGCGCATGCTAGTGACCACCAGGCAACACTGCCAGCATGTCTCTGTGTCCTTCCTTTCCAGAGGTGCAGGGTGACTTGTGCACAGCCTTTTGAGAAAGCAGGGGCCCCCCAGAAGGCCCATGACCATGAGGTCCAGGCCTTTGGCTGAGCTTTTGGAAGCTCAATTTTATTGTGGTAAAATATATATTGCCGATGTCAGATGGATCTTGGCTGAAAGCAGAGAATACCAGAAAGATGTTTACCTGTGTTTTTTTGACTATGCAAAGGCATTCAACTGTGTGGATCATAAC